CGTGTTTAGCACAGCAGACTTGTTAGCATAAACCTCTTTTTTTTAAGCCACTGAGGTTTTGACATTGTTACCACAGCAAAGCCTAGGACATTCTGACTGGTGCATGATAGAAACAGCCTTGATGCTCCACCTGACATGACAGTTGAACTGAAACGTGCAAGAGTCCAGCATGTCAGCAGTGTTGACTCAGACTCCGAGGCCACGGAGACCTGTGACACCCTATGGATAGTGGACATGCAGCTCCTTTGTGGGCCTGTCTGTAACTGCCCTCGCGTGTGCTGTGACATACCTAGTGCCTGGGACGTGACGGCCAGTTGGAAGGACCTGATCCTCTCCTTGTGTGACTGGGCTCAGGTGGCTTTTCTTTCAGCAAAGGTTCATCGTATCCGGCCTCGGGACTAAGCTGGCCCTCGTTATCTGTCGCCTCGTTCTGATCTCTCTGTGCCCCTGCACCTTCTGGCCCCTCTGTGACCTCCAGAGCCTCAGGGGACTCCTGCCTCTGTCCCTGCCCTCCAAGCGTCCACAGGAGGCCCCCCCATTCTCCTTTCCAGGTCTCCTGGGTGGGGGTCTGGGTGGTGTGCCTCTGCATTGCTGTCTTTCCCTTTCTGTTCCCTTCCCTCTGGAGCTTTCGGGGTAAATACAGCATGTCCTCGGGGACCTCCCCCTTTTGAAGCCTGACCCGTGTGTCTGAGCAGCGCCAGTGCTGATGGCACTGTGCCTGCGTCCCGGTGAGTGAGGCGAGCTCACTTGGGGCGTCGTGCTGGAGGCCTGGGTGGTTGCGGAGATGACTCAGGGCCAGGTTTTGACGTCTGTCCAGGGCTTAAGCTGTTCCTTAGCTTTTGTTCCAGAACACTGAGGCGACAGTGGAAACGTCTCTGCTGTCGGAAGGAAAACATTATCAGGAATGGCTTTTCACTAGGATGCTGGTGGCCTGTCTTTCATGTAAAGTAATAATAGCTGAGTAATTCCAAGTAAACTGAAAGAGGCCAGCAGTCATTTTTAAAAACAACATTTCCTTCTGCCAAAATGGTAATTCGAGTTCTTTATTTTTTAAAAATTGGAAAATTTGAAAGCATAATAGAAAGAATGACTCCGCATAACTCCATGGTGCAAATATAACCATAGTTAACACTGGGCAGTTTGTTTTCCTTTGAGTTTTTATGTACAGGTACATTTTTAAATGAAATTGGGAAGATCACAAAGCAAACCTTTATTGAAACTATTCTCCGTGCCAGGAAGTCTTTAAGTACTTTATACACGTTACTTCTCTTATTCCTCATGACTCTTTGAAGAATCATTATCTCCATTTTATAGAAGAGGAGACTGAGGTGCAGAGAGGCCAAGTCATTTTTCCAAGGTCACACAGCTCATAAGAGTGGTGCCAAAATGGGAACCAAAGCAGCCTGTCTCCAGAGCCCAGGGTCCTGCCTGTTCCATGACGCTCTCCCAGTAAACGTGGCTTGGATTACATTTCATGGAATTGTGCAGGGTTAGTTCTGAGTTGTCTGGTTCCACCTCCTCACTCTATAGATTAGGAAATCGAAGATCACAGATGCAGTTTGCTTTACCTGAGAACACGTAGCTAGTCATTGTCAGTGCCAAAACTGGAACACGCGTCTCCTGGGCCACAGTCCACATGCACCTTGACTCTGGGCGCCTTCGAACCTGTCGTCCTCCCCGCGTCCCAGCCCTGAAACAGCTGCACTATACTGTTGACCTCAGATTAGATGGAGGACGAGGGACCCTCACAGCTGTCTTCCCAACATGCACATGAAATGCCAGTTTGTGTTCAGGGACTGTGTTTGTGTTCAGTTGTGTACGGGACCCTGGTGATGATGTGTTAGCCGGCTCGGAATTATCCTGCAGAGCTAGGGCCATAAACGACTGACAGGTGCGGCCCAGCTTTTCACCCTCATCAAACATTTAACTGAGATTTGCTGACAAGCCCTAAGAGCGATTGATCTGAGCTTTAAATGCTGTTCCTTTCGCCAACATGGAATCTCAAGGACATACCAAGCATTGTTACAATTTTAAAGCGAGCTAGAAGTCAGCCAGCCATCTGTGTGTCAACATTCCTGCATTTAAGAGGCTGCCCTGCCCGCAGTCCGCAAGGGAACGAGGCCATTGCGTCGAGACGCCGGCGTCGGGTGGCCCGCTGCGGTGGGGATGAGCGTTAGAGGAAGGACTGGTGGTGACTTCTGCCGTGTTCTGTGAGGTGAGGTCCAGAAAGCTCTGTGTCTGCAGATGTGGTGGTGGACTTCTCGATAGAGAAGACCAAGCAGGTGGTTTTATTTTTTATAATTTATCCTGATCTTATCTGAGCTCCCAGAGGGCAAGAACAGGTTTTTAAGAATCTCGCCAACAGTGTGGAGCAAGAAAAGGCAAGAAGAGTACGTGATGTATTAGTCAAAATGAATGTATCCTGTTAGAAGTCAGCCTTGTGCTTAGACCGGGAGGCGAGGGTGACGTGGTTGACGGGGCAAAAGAGGAGCGTCTGTTCTGTTTTTTAAACTGGGTCCTGGTCACACAGTGTGTTCAGTTTGTGAAAACTCACTGACTTTTATCTTTATTAAATATGCTCTTTTCTATGTGTAAATTTTACGTCAAAAGTTTCAAGGTCCTTATTTGTGTTTGTGTATCTTGCTACACATCGATACTCAGAAAATCTCCATTTAGTTGAATCAGTTTGAAATGATGTCAGATCTATTACCTAGGTGTTGGGAAAACCTGTCTACCTGGAACTGTCTGGTCTGGATGGGCAGAACTTCCAAGGTCATCTTTGAGTCTTATCAAAATGTATCCTAGATGACTTCAGGGTTGACTCTCCTGGGATAAAGAATGATGTCACTTTAGTTCAGCCGACATTTATGGATGGCCTCCTGTGAATAAGGGGCAGTGCTAGCACTACAAGCTGGGTACAGGTGTGGCACCATCTCTCCCCTAAGGAGCCTGCGCTCTGGGGCGGTGAAAGTCCACAGATGAGTGATAAAAGAGGAGGAAAGTGGCACCACCAAAGCACCACGGAGCATCATGGAAAGGAAAGGCAGCTTTCCAACGAGACTAGGAAAAGCTTCATGGAGGAGTGACATTTTGAAATGGATCTTAAAGAATGTGTAGGATTTTGATAAGCAGTGGTGGATGGGTGGCAGGCATTGAGAATATCATACATCCGAGGAAATCCATAGAAAATTCATGTACGTTCTGGAAACTTTGGGTTGTATGGTTCGCTTAAGATGAATGGCATCCATTAGGTGCAAGGCTAGGCCTGAAAGGTAAGCGAGGGCCTTACAGTGGCCAGGCTGTGTTGTTTAATTTGGGAGCCATTAGTGGGCAAAAGAAAGTTTCTGAGAAGTAGAGTAGTGTAATCAGATGGGATCCCTCCAGTAAAATCAAATCTCCAGCCTTGTGATTGTATGATCACTGTTAATTACCCTGTCTGCCCCAAATAAACATTTCCTAGGTTTAGTGCATTCTTTGTCACTGTAATTTGAGCCCATTCTAGTTTGGGTTGACTAGTGAGCCATACGTCCATAGCTTCCTTGAGCTTCCTGTGGTCGTCTCTCTGGACTTGAAGATGGTTGTGATGTACCTTCTTTAGTCCCTGCACCCATCCCTCCCTCTTGACCAGGTGAAGTCACAGTTCCTGTACCCTGTTGTCATACATCTGAGTTGTGTAGGAGGCCTGACCCACTGAGCTGGGATCGGGTTCATCTCTGCCATTGGGCTCCCTCCTCTGCGAAAAAATACTGGGCAGGATTTTTCATGTGGCAAAGTGTTGTTAATCTTCATTGTTGGAAATGGTCTGCATTCAAGTCTAGCTCACTTGGGCAGTGTGAGGTCTCTTATCGTCTTACTAATTTTTTTGCTGGGTCAGCCTACTGTCCCCTAAAAAAAGTAACTTGTGCTGAATATTGTCTTGTCTCCCATTCAGTTTCTGCTGAGACTATGTCAAGGCATGGTTCTATTCAAAGCCTCCTTAACGTGACAAGTAAGGTGCTTCAGTGTACATCTTACGAATCTTTGTTTCGAGATGGTGTTCAGACTCCTCAAAGACCAGTTGTTAGTCCTCTGGGGACACTAGTAGTAGAAAGTCCTGATGTGGAAAGAGGACCAGAGTTAAGGTGACTTGGATTCAAATCCTGGCTCTTTAACTCTCAGTATGGATTTAACACATGCTTTGCCTGGGCTGGTGGCGGGGATCAGACAAGACAGCCCACGTGAATACCCACAGCGCTTGGCACACAGATGACGCTCGCCTTTCCCTTTCAGAGCACAAGCCAGCCACGCCCCTTGCCAGGGCGCTCAATGATACTTTGCCTTCTTTTCTCCAGGTGGCCCTTGAGTGAGAAAGCTATTTCACATGGTCTTAGAACTATCACTGTTTTGTTTTTCAATCACCGTGGTTGTGGTTTGGGGTTGTTTCCACATCAAAATACTGTTGTCGTATTACTCAATTATTAAAATTATCCTTGTACTGTATTCTGTCACATCTGTTTAATGATTCTGTTAAGAAAATAATGTCTTGTGTTGATGAATGTACCTGCTGGAAATTTACTTTTTTTTTTCTTTTTTCCTTCTCCCTCTGTTAAATGATTGCGTTCTGAATTGGATGCGTTGCCTACAAGGGTGAAGTTCCCAGTGAAGGGGGCGTGGTGGGCATCCTGATTACCTGGCACTTTGGGAAGCCAGAACCAACTGGTCACCTCGTTCCCTTATGCGTTTTCTACCCTGGCAACTGAAAGCTGCCATCTAGTCAGAGAGAAAGTTGGGTACCCTAGGAGATCTGGATCTCACGGTTGGTTAGTACACAGGGATGCAGGAAAGAGTGGGACTATCCTGTGGTTCAACTTGCGAAGAGAGTAGGGAGTTTTTATCTTGTGAACACTTGCAGTTTGAAAATCTGGGACTTGAAGTATGGCTGCTGTGTGTGTACAGATTCTGTCACGGTCGTTGTCCTTCTGACTTCAAATCTGAAAGCACTCCTGCCATGTCTCTTTCAGGTAGAGCGTCATGACATGAATACCCTAAGCCTGCCCCTCAACATACGCCGAGGGGGCTCAGACACCAACCTCAACTTCGACGTACCAGATGGCATCCTGGACTTCCACAAGGTCAAACTCAGCGCGGACAGCCTGAAGCAGAAAATCCTAAAGGTAACAGAGCAGATAAAAATAGAGCAGACGTCCCGTGATGGGAACGTGGCGGAGTATCTGAAGCTGGTCAGCAGCGCGGACAAGCAGCAGGCCAGCCGGATCAAGCAAGTCTTTGAGAAGAAGAATCAGAAGTCAGCTCACTCGATCGCCCAGCTGCAGAAGAAATTAGAACAGTATCATAGAAAGCTCAAGGAGATCGAACAGAACGGAGCCTCCAAAAGCTCAAAAGACTTTTCCAAAGACCACCTGAAGGACATCCAGCACTCTCTGAAAGATGCCCAAGCCAAGTCTCGAACGGCGCCCGGCAACATGGAGAGCAGTAAATCGGGCATGCCAGGGGTGTCCCTCACTCCTCCCGTGTTCGTCTTCAGTAAGTCCAGGGAGTTTGCCAACCTGATCCGGAATAAGTTTGGCAGCGCCGACAACATCGCTCACTTAAAGAATTCCTTAGAGGAGTTTAGGCCCGAGGCGAGTGCCAGGGTCTACGGGGGCAGCGCGACCATTGTGAACAAGCCCAAGTATGGCAGTGACGACGAGTGTTCAAGTGGCACGTCGGGTTCCGCCGACAGCAATGGGAACCAGTCGTTTGGGGCTGGTGGAGCCGGCACGCTGGACAGCCAGGGGAAGCTCACCATGATCCTGGAGGAGCTGCGGGAGATCAAGGACACCCAGGCACAGCTGGCTGAGGACATCGAGGCGCTGAAGGTGCAGTTTAAGAGAGAATATGGTTTTATTTCTCAGACCCTGCAAGAGGAGAGATACAGGTATTTCAGACTCTTCTTTTAGAAGCATGAGTTAATAATTGCAGAGAGATTGTCTGCTTGAAAATGATGTGCTAACGGTTGTGTTTTCCATAAATATGGATATGGGTCAAAAGGCAGTTAGGAATCAATAGATCTTTCCATATTTCATGATTCTAAGCTTTTTAATTTGCGGCTTATAGTTTAGAGAAAGACGTTATACTTGTGGGACTATTAAAATGTCACCGTATAGTCTATGACTCATGTGCATATTAAGCTCCTAATTCAGTAGACTTCTGTTGTAAAGTCTCATTACACTAATTCAGAGATCACTATTTGATTTCCCTCCGTAATAACCGTCAAGTAAAACACTAATTTATTGTCCAGCCAGGTAGATTTTATTTGGTATATCAGTCTTGAAGTCTTTATATAGTGTATTTTTTTAACGTACTATATTTTGCCTGTCAAACTTTTCACCCTAAATGAAGAGCTTTCCAAAGAAATCTTAAGAGTGAAGTATAAATTCAAATCTTGTAGATTATATGAGCTAATTTTAAAAGGTATTGTGTAGGCTGGCTTTTATGTGCTTATAGCTTATTAATGGAAGGTGGGTATGCCCAGATAGGAGGTGATTTTCCACCGTTTTACCAAGAAAAAGATCCCCCAAAAGTTTTCTGATCAAAATGAATACGTTAACTTCTAGAAAAGTAGATAAAAAAGTGAATGCCAATTACATACTGTAAGATTTAAATTTTGACTTTAGCTTACATGTTTTACATCTGACATGTGGTTTTATGTAAGTATTAATTTAGAAATGTGCCTTTTTTCAGCTCTCATATTTTATGACACACATTTTTTAAACTTCCCGCATATGTCTTTGATTCGGGTTTCTTTGTCACGTAAGAGCTGTTGTAGAGTCACCGCTTTTCCAGATAACACTGACTTCGACTCCATCTCAGGAGTCTGGGATGCAGCACTCTCTGGACCAAATTTTATCCCAAGTCACAAGTACCCGTTTACATAAAGTTAGGGCAGGTTTTGTTCTCATTTGTCACGTAGTTGTTTGTCATCTCTATAATTCAGCCTCTCACTCTGTTGCTCACTTTAAGGGATCTTTAAAAGACTGGTTTGCAACACCAACAATGGACACCAATGAAGTGCTGCCTGAGAATAATCGTTAAATCTGTATTAAGTTTTTTGTTTCTCATTTTTTTAAATGATTCTATCGGGTGACGTATACGAGCATCTAAAACGAGCGTTGATCGAAGTCACTCCAGGCTAATCATCTTCCCCAAATAGTACCTCCTGTTTCAAAATAAGCAGTGTGAGTTTTCAGATACCAGACAAATTCCTCTTCTGAGATGGGTGGGGGATGGGAACGGGACTCTGTACTTCAGTTACTTTAGATTTGGACTTTTAGAAATACCACCTGATAAGCCATCTATGATTTGTAGCAAGCTTAATTTTTTATTGGTATTTAAGTTCCAAGAGCTGAAAAACGTATTCAGAATCGGTATGCGCCCTGGGAAATAGTGGAATTGGCTCCGTTGTAGGAGTTGGTTCTTTCCTCTTTGGCTCTCTGGCTCCTGAGAGCCGCGGCCGTGAACCACCAGGCGCTGTGGGGCAGGAGAGGGAGAAGCACCCAGATGCCAGCGGGTCCTTGTCTTGAGTGGGAGCCCGGACAGCCCTGTCTCCTGGCTGGCCCTGGTGAATGCGCCAGCTGATGAGGTCTGGCCTCTCGTCACCGCAGCCAGCCAAGTTGCTCATCTGATGTGGGTGGAAAAGCCAGATTTGGTTTGCACGGAACTGGGTGGTGAGGACAGAGTTGAGACTGCCGGTGTTTCTAGAGCCAGAATTCGGTGTTATCCAAAGACCTGTTCCCCACAGCCAGACTTACTCTTTTGGAAGCAGTCTGCCAGGGGATGAAAACAAGCCAAGGGGCACTGGCAGCAGTGAGATATAAAGGACGTAATTCTAGAATGTGCCATTAGAAGACCTTTGAAGTGTCATGCTCAGAATCGGCTGCTCTCTTTGCAAAGGTACGAGCGATTGGAAGACCAGCTCCATGACATGACGGACCTGCATCAGCACGAGACGGCCAACCTGAAACAGGAGCTGGCCAGCATCGAGGAGAAGGTAGCCTACCAGGCGTACGAGCGCTCGCGGGACATCCAGGTACCTTTCCCCTGACGTTAGACACTCGTGCGGCTCTTTCCAGCCTTGACTCCATTGAACACATTAAGTGTGGTACCGCGAAGCCCTGAAGGACTTCTGGCACATAGAGCAGAATGTTTTCTCTGCACAAACGTTTCTCCACCTTATTAACCCCGTTAGCTCATGCACAGATGTCACTGAGTAAAGAGGCCAGTCTCTGTGCACTTTCTGCCTAAATTAGTTGACAAATATTTATTATCTACCCCAAATCCATCACCTGTACCCTTTTCTCCCCAGCAACACCAAATTTTCTTTTTTTGTTTTTTGATGAGGAAGATTGTCCCTGAGCTAACATTTGTGCCCATCTTCCTCTATTTTATATATGGGACGTCGCCTCAGCGTGGCTTGATGAGCGGTGTGTAGTTCCACACCCAGGATCCGAACTGGTGAATCCTGGGCCACCAAAGCAGGGCACACACACTTAACCACTGGGCCATGGGGCTGGCCCCAACGCCAAAATTTTAAAAAATTTTAAAACATGAAACAAACATTGCCTTCAAGAAGCTTTTACTGCCTAGATGGGGAGTCAGGAGTAGCTCAGCTGCGAAACAGCTCACGACAACGTGAGCAAGGGCCAGATTACATGGCGCAGACACTCAGAGCCACAGAAATTCAGTCATGCGATGCCCAGCAAGCTGTGGACTAGTGGAGCCATCGGTCGTTAGTGGTCAAACTGGATTTCAGCCCCAGGTCTGCCACTTGCCAGCTGTGTGGCCCTGAGCAAAGCTTGAGGCTGTCCACTCATCTGTAAGATAACAGCTTTCTATCTGTAAGAATGCCAAGCACTCAAGTGCATACCATGGGCCAAGCTCGAGCAAAGCACTTACATGTCTCTTTTTTCCCCATTTACTCCTCACAGCAACCCTTTAAGGTAATTCCTGCCATTCTCCCCATTTCTCAGACGTGAAGACCAAGGCACAGAGAGGTTAAGGGACTTGAACAGGGTCTTGCAAATAATCCTTGAGTCATGAATATGAGCGAATGTCCTGGAGAAGGTGGGACTTGAAGGGATGGATGGAAGGAAGAGGTAACTGGATCAGTATAAACGGGGGCATGTTCCAGTATTAATGTGCTGCTGGTGTGCAGTGAAACAACCTGGGCTTCTGGAGCGCCTTTTCAATTTATTTTGCTGTTAGAGGGTCTCTCCCCCACCCCCCAGTTTTATTGGGGATATAATTGACATATAACTTTATATTAGTTTAAGGTATACAGCCTAAAGATTTGATTTTTGTAGATATTGTGAAATGACACCGTAAGAAGTCTAGTTAGCATCCACCACCTCACACAGTTGCAATTTTTTTCTTCTGATGAGAACTTTTCAGATCTACTGTCTTAGCAACTTTCAAATATATAATACAGTATTGTTAACTGTAGTTGCCATGCTGTACATTACATCCCCAGGACTTAATTATCTTATAACTGCAAGTGTGTCCCTTTTGACTGCTTTCACCCATTCTGCCTACCCCCCACCTCTGGCAACCACCAGTCTGTTTTCTGTTTCTATGAGTTTGACTTTTTTAGATTCCACACGTAAGTGAAATCCAACAGTATTTATCTTTCTGTGTCTGACTTTTTTTTTTTTTTTTTTGAGGAAGATTAGCCCTGAGCTAACTACTTCCAATCCTCCTCTTTTTGCTAAGGAAGACTGCCCCTGAGCTAACATCCATGCCCGTCTTCCTCTACTTTATATGTGGGACACCTGCCACAGCATGGCTTGCCAAGAGGTGCCATGTCCATACCTGGGATCCGAACCAGCGAACCCTGGGCCGCTTAAGCGGAACATGCACACTTAACCGCTGTGCCACCGGGCCGGCCCCCATGTTTCCGTGTCTTGACGGTTGTGAATAATTTCAGTGAAGATGGGGGTACAGATATCTCTCCTAGATTTCATTTACTTTGGGTAAACAGCCAGAAGTGGAATTGCCACATCCTATGGCAGGTCTATTTTTAATCTTTTGAGGAACCTCCAAACTGTTTTCCATAGTGGCTGTACCAATGTACATTCCATTGATCACCTTTTTTAAAAAAATGAAAAAATGTACTCTTCAAGTAAAGCTCAGCTCCATTACAAATTTTCTCTGTAGGCAGTGGTTATTTTCTCCAGCCCCACCTCTACAAGGGAGAAAACTGAGACGTAGAGAGAGATTTCTCCCACAGTGTGTGAGCTGGAGTCTCGGCTCCCCGCGTTTTGTTCCCCTCTGTGTCGAGGCCTGAGCCTGTGCTTAACCCCAGTCGTTGGCTTGGACAATTCTGGGAGCCACAGTCTCAGAGCTCAAAGGAAACGTTTGCCTGTGAAGATCGTGGGGCAGAAGACACTTGGGGATTTCTGCCCCTGCTGTGGGTTAGCAGATCAGCTTCGCCACTGACTGGTTTGAAAAATGTGACCCCTTTTCAACGTTAAGTGTTGCCAGGTGAACAGTGCTGTCAGTTTTATTCGATCATTCTATTTTAGAACATGTCTGGGATGCCACTGGAGTGTGTCTGAATGTGTGCTTTTCTTATTTAGGGGATAATTTGGGTTAATATTGTTTTTCCTTTTTTAAAGAAACATACTTTAGGGATGAAGGGGTAAGATAAAGGGAGGGACTTCACAAAGGAAGCTTAGAAAGTCAGAAGAATTCGTTTCAACACTTTCTGGTTTCGTCTCTAGCTCAGAATTGCAAAGAGGACATTAGTACGAGTGATGGGAGGGGGGTCTTTCTGGTCATGATGGTTAGAACCCTGCCTCTACCACTTACTCTGTGACCCTGGACAGGTCAGCTCTCTGTGCTGTGTCTCAGTGTCCTCATCTATAAGGTAGAAGTATTAATGAGCTCTACCTCAAAAGGTTGTCAAGAAGATGAAATGAGATAATACATGGCAAGTGCTTGAATCCTTGCCTGACACTTAATAGACAGTCAAAAAATACATGCTGGCTGTTCTTTGCATTCTATTGGTGAGGCGCCATCTTCCTCAGGGCTTCTCGCAGTTGGGCTTGCTCAGCCTCATCTTTCTTTCTTGTTCCTTTTGATCTTGCGGACAGGGTTACACAAGAGGACAGGCCAAGACAGATGACAGTGGCTGTTGCCTCTAGGGACGCAAGGCTGGCGGTGTTTTAAGCAATAGAGGTTTCTTTTGTTTTTAACCCTGAATTCCCAATTAAAAGGGTTTAAAGATAATCCTCTCCTCTGTTCCTATCTCCAGGAAGTTAAATACTGGACCCAAGGAAGTACTGAAGATTGTGGGGCTGAATATGTCTTAGTGGGAGCTTGGACCCACTAAGGGCTGCAAATTCCTTGCAATTCACTACTTAGTTTCCTTGGAGTTTTCTTTTGGTTGAAAACTTTGACAGCAATTCTAAGGCAATTCTAGGATCAGTCTACTTAGATATGTAATTCATTTGCCCAATCAAGATTAATGAATATGCCTGAAATGTTGATCTTTTGTCTTGTTCTGTCACCTTTTCCGTGCCTTGCCTAAACTGAAGGAAACCTTGGGCCCAAGTGGTTGAAAGGAATGCATGATTTCTGGGGCGCATGCCTATTATCGTTGAAAACCAGCACTTTTTAGAACGTGAAGATCTGAAGAAGTTTTACCCTTTTTGTGGGTAGCCTGTGTAATGAAAAGTTACTATAGTAACAGAACCTTGTTCCTTGGCCCATAGAGAATATTCAGCAGAAGAAAAGCAAATCAATGCTGGAGCCATTATGCTTATTTAAAATCTGAAAAGATGGCTGTCTCTATTTGAATTGAGCAAACACCTGTTGGTGAATGAGTTACAGTGGGCTATGGACGAAATGGAGCTCGGTTTGTGTACTGCCTCTAGTTAGGTTCTTTTCTCCCAAGAGGCGTAGGGTTTTTCCTCCCTCGAGCCTCACAGCCCGTTACTGGCACCCCGTCTCTGGAGTATTCAGCCAGGGCGTAGCCCCCGCTGCACACCTGGCTCTGGCTCCGAGCACGGTGGGCCTCATCTCCATCCTCAGGCAGCCGTGGGCTCTTGGTTGGGGAGGAGGGCTGGCGGGAGGCTTGACCTGGTCTGATGGGTTCAGGAAAGCCCCCCTCAGGACGTGACAGTCGAGGTGGGACCTGAAAGGCAAATGTTAGATCCAGAGATGAAGAGAGGACGGAGCTGAGAGGCACACATTTCAGGCACAGTACACAGCACGTACAAAGGCCCGAACATGCTCCTTTCAGAACTTTAAAAAGCCAGTATGGCTAGAACCCGTGAGGGGGCAGGGGGCTGGCATTAAGTGAGGCAGGAGAGAGTAGCTGGGCCTGAGCTGTGCAAGACCTCAAAGGGCCATGTTCCAGATTTGAAAGCTTTATGAAAAGGAGTGACATCGGATATGCATCTTTGGGTTGCTGTGTGGAAAATGGATTCACTGGGGCTGAGGAGCAAGGGTGTGTGGAGAAGTTAGTGTGAGCTTATCACAAGCAAGAGGTCCTGGTGACTTAGCTTGGGTGGTGACTAGGGGAGGGGAGAGAAATGGACCAATTGAGATAGATAGCGGATGTTGCACCAATGAGGCTGGGTGGTGGATTAGATGAGAGGGGTATCGAGGAATGCCTCTCAGGCTTCAGGTTCCCTGAGAAGGGAACACTGGGAGGGAAACACGGTTGACAGCAGGTAGCAGGTAGGTGCAACACGTGAATCCACATTTGGCCATGTTGCATTTGAGGTGCTTTTAAGAAGCTCAGATGGAGATGTCAAGGAGGCATGTGGGTCGATCTCAGAAGAGATGGCTGGGCTAGAGATATGCTCGGAGTCCCCGTGCCTCAGTAATTGAAGCCTTGGAAAGAGTGAGATCTGGGCATAACGTCCTGAGGAATGCAGTGTTCAAAGAGCAGGAAGAAGCAGAGTTGCCCCACGGTCAGTCCCGTCCCCTCACTTCTCCCTCCATCCTAGGGTGCACGCAGGCCTGAGCAGTGGAAATAAGGACTAGCAATTGGAGATACCACCTACTCCATGCCTGGAGGTAGTCGGCAATCACAAAATGGAACCCCACCCCTTCTCTGTTTTGTCCCCTATGGTACAACAGATGCCAACATTTTATGCACTTTATTTCAAATATGGGTGGAGTCGAAAAACTTAACCCTGATTCCTCATTCGTGGTGTCTTATGGTTGCCACACATGCTCATCCTGTCCGTGAACAATAGGATAAACTAGGCCTTGCGATTCCTCTTTTGCTTCTTTGTCTGTCATCGTCCTCATCATTGTCATTTCAGCTATTTGAAGCTGCCTGAGCATCCAGCATTCTGAGCTGGGGGGCTTGCATGCATGTCCGAGCACGCGCTCACGCATTGCCCGTGGTCTCAACAGCGTTTGATCCTCGCTCTTCCTCTTGCCTACAGGAAGCCTTGGAGTCCTGCCAGACTCGCATCTCGAAGCTGGAGCTGCACCAGCAGGAGCAGCAGGTGCTGCAGACGGACACCGTGAATGCCAAAGTTCTCCTGGGCAAGTGCATCAACGTGGTCCTGGCCTTCATGACTGTGATCTTGGTGTGCGTGTCTACCATCGCCAAGTTCGTCTCGCCCATGATGAAGAGCCGCTTCCACATTGTCGGCACCTTCTTTGCTGTGACTCTTCTTGCAATATTTTGTAAAAACTGGGACCATATTCTGTGTGCCATAGAAAGGATAATAATACCAAGATGAGGCTCACTGCCTGCTGTCCTCCAGTTCTTTCAAGTTGTTATTTTAAAGAAAACTCTGTGCATTCTCCCAAACTTTAAAAAGAGGTGGTGCCGACGGAAGATTACGAGGAGGACTGGGCTGTGCGTTGTAAATAACTCCGAGTCTCTGAACTTGGTAGCAGTTACCAGCTCAGCCTCTGCCTGGTTAACGTGACTCTGTTTCCGAGCTCTCCCCACCTTGCTCTCTGCCTTAATCAGACCAGATTTCCTGCCCGCCTGACTAGCCCAGCGTAGTAAACCTCTGATTATTGACCACCTGCATAACTAGTGATGCAGAAGACAAAGGGTTTTCAATCTCTGTAGCCTCTTTCAAAATTGAGCTTTACTGTTGCCACTGGTGCATTTTCCCTGAGTCCTGTACGCAGCAAGGATGTGCCACGACTTGGGGACGGGAAGGAGCACGGGCGCTGGCTGTGTTGAATACTTGTGGCCCATGGAAGCACAGGAAATCTCGAGTAATCTGTCCCCCTTGTCCACAGATGCCCGTAGGTCCCATATGTATCCAGTGTCCACAGTGGTCAATTACGTGTGACTCTTCGTAACATGGAAATCTCATCACACACCCGTTTATCCGTCAGAAGTCTGACTTAGGTGTTCTGTTGCACTTTAGGTGGTAAGACACGAGGGTTTATGAATGGGGCTTTGCCTCTTTACCCCCAGGGAGCTGCACACCTGATTTCATTTTCACAGGCTATCGAATGCCCCACCTTCAAAGCATGCAGAAATGCTTCCAAACCCCTCCTCAAATCGTGGTTTTAACGTTAATTCGGGGTCCTGCGAGCACTGCTCTGGAGTTTGTGTCTCGGCAAATCTTAATTCTGAGAAACCGCTTTCGAGGATGTGATTCACTTTCTGTGATTCACTTTATTCACAGGGCTGCGAGGGATTGCAAAGCTTACTCAGTAAATGAAAACAAATGATGCTCGTCTTGCAGGGTTTTTTTCTCAGAGAAGGACAGCAGGCTCATAGTTTATTAAACTAACGTGCACTGAGATAGGAACCCTGGAAGCAGGAAGAAGGTATGGCATGTGGTCTAAGTGGGTGGCAGTTAGATCAGTGGGAACAACTCACTTGGATGGAGAAGGTCCTCTTAGGACCCTGAAAGACCAGGGGGAATTGAATAAATTAGATCCAGTGTCTGAGTCAAGGTCGCCACATGTCTCTTAGGATCTTACTGAAAGTGAGTTCTAAGGTAATAGAGTGGCCACACTTCCACTGAGGTGAGAGCATTCAAAGTTGACATCTTTGGCCTCTTTGGGGATGCCATTCGCTGTCTTTAGCCCAGATGATGCTTTCCTTTAAATCTCTTTCCCTGTGTACATAACAAAAAGGAAAACAGAGAAGATTTTAACAGAAACTGCTATTCAGCCCACCACCCCCTCCATCATATGAAGGCGGAAAGATACATGTTAGTGTACATTTTCTTCTAGGAAACATCAGATCACCCAGATTAAGTGCAATATTTTGCAAACAGCTGCTCTTAGGGAAATCTCCTGAAAAAATGTGACAGTGTGCCATGGTCTGAGAGAATGGAACAGTCAAGCATTTTGTACAAGTCCAGTGTGTGTGAGACTCATACAACTCAGAGCTTTCTCTTTTTTTTTTAAGTTTACAATTCACTGGTTTTAGTAAATTCACTAACTTAGGCAACTATCTAATTCCATATCTAACTCAAGCTTTTTAAAATAATAAACATCATTTCTTGAAATCTTTGGCTATATAGTATTCTGGATTCAGGGAAGAGGGAGTTACTGGTCCCACCCCCATCTCGTGGCTGTGTCAGACTCTCCCTGCGTCCCCCAAGTTCGCTGTCAATACACTGTGATACATCAAATCCAGGGGACAGAAAAGGGTTCCAGGCTCAGGGCAGGAAGGGAGGAAGAATGGTATGCTTCCTTTTGCTTTTATATTTCAATGGCTGGCATCCCCCTTTATCTGTGGGCATCAGTCTCCATGTGGGCTGAGGGCTGGGTGCAACTTACACCCCTAAAATAAGCGGCCTTCTGGGTGGGCTCCTTTTGATCTCTATGGATCTTTCTCAGGCACTTTGGACATGCCAGGGGTTGGGGTGGGTATAGATGCTGCTCTTAGTTTAGGGAGAGTGAGATTTCTAGCCCTGGAGGTTAAGGGCTCTGGGAGGATTCTAGAAAACTTGGGGTTCCTTCTCAGGTCTCCACACTCCGCTCGTCACTCAGCCTAGCAAGTTTGCTTTGGCGCTTTCCAGACCTGTGAACAGTGAGTCTCCTCCCCAGGGGGAGAAGTGGAGAAGACGACGGAAAGGAACACAGTCCGCCCCCTCCAGTCTAGAGCGGTTAACAGAAGCTGCTAGAAACTGGCTCTCTTCAGAAGTATCATGGCGTCTAAATCAGCCCACCTGGTCATGAATTCTTTTTAAAGAATTCATATTTCCAATGATTCTCATTAAATATCAAATAATGTTGTTTTCACCTGGATGTGCTCAGCCTGCACGGCATATTTATTTTGGAGTCTTGCTGAAAGTTCCTGAAGCTTTTTAATAAGATTATATACTCCAAGGAGACTTGCACTCTCTCTCTGCAGTTTTTTATTCTCTTCTTTGGGAATGAACCCCCTCTACTGCTTGTTTTCTTCACTGTGTAAGGAGATTAAATAAAGTTTTATAAATATACAATTAAAAACAGTGATCTAGCTATGACGTATCCTGGAATTGGATATTTAATTTGCACTTAAGCCAACGCCCTTTTCCCCCACCTTTCACAGGTGGTAAATGTCTCGTGCATGCCTAAAGATGACACCAGCTATTGGACACTCAGTGAACATTCGTGAGGAATTTAAGACGCTGGCCCTTGGGTTCTGGCACTGGGCTTTTTGGTGACATATTATTTTCATGATCACCAAGATAATGATAGTTTGCTGAGGACAAAACAAAAACCTAAAAATACTCTCTTGTGGGTTTTGAATCGGTTAGTCCAGCTTATATCTTGAGTATGATTAAGCCAGAACAAAACATCCTCCCCCAAACCCCCGCAAAAAAGTCAAACTTGAAGCAGAAAACAAAAGGACTCCACTGCTGGTTTTGGACAGTGAAAGTAGGATCAGTCCCAGGTTTCTAGCTTGTCCCATTAGTGGTTTTGCTTACATAGTTGTTGTAATCTATTGATAAACTGAAGTCTTCTGCCGCTGCTCCCCTTTGCATTTCAGCCCGTAATGCTGTTATCCCTGTCTGTCAATTAGCATCCATGCGATTCTAGCTCCTCTCCTACTTTGTCACTCTTGTTTTCGTTTGAATATTGCCCCACTATGTATGTTTATTGCCCTGCTATTTCTCTGGCACATCAGGTTTAATTATGTTCAATAATAGCGAGGGGAACCAGGTTCCCTCAGGCAACTAATTACTTTTGTCCTTTTTGTTTGGATTTGAAATACCGAATTATTTTGCATCAAATGGGAACGTTTTTGTATTGAATCCAAATCTAATTATGTTGGTTGGGGAAAACATTTAAATATACTTGTTAATATGAATGTGTGATTAAACAACCTATTTTGCATATTTCTATAATTTTGAGGAACGGGGGTAGGGGTAAGACAAAATGGCATTATTTAAAATTCAGGGCTTTATCTGGAGAGAGAGATTGCAAGAAGTGTAGCACGTGTGCTGAGGAAGGAATTGATCTAAAAAGACCAATCCCTGGGAAGAATGAGATTGGCCTGTTTACATCAGAAGTATTCAAGAAGCTAGAAGAAAAATAGTACAGTTAATAAGAGTTTGGTAACCCATAAGCTGTAAAGCAGAACTAATCTGCGATTTTCTAAAGTCAGTACAATTCTCTGTTTATAAGAAGCTGGAAAGTAATGTACCTCGATTGTTTTGGGAACGATTTATGTGTTACAATTTTAATTTATTTAAAGCTGTGTTTGTCCTAAGAGAAATGTTTTAACAAAACGTGCTTTCCGACGAAGATCTGTTTAGGCAGTAGTTAGCAGCTCTGAAAGTAGAAACTGGAAGTGTTTATTGTGAGGTCTGTGGAGAATTTCCATTTTGTGGGATCCTATATAGTTTTGTGTCAGCCTAAAATTGTGAATTCTCTGTAGATCTTCATCCCATTCAAAGCAGGAGCCGTTATTTTTTTAAACAAACACTTGATGTTAGCTTTGATGTTAAATAAAGAGCTAGGTTTCTTAAATTTTCACATTGGTCAGAGCCCATCTCAATAGCAAACTTGTCTACGTGTGTGTATAATCAGTTTTTTAAGTAGACTTTTTTACAGCAGTCTTAGGGTCACAGCAAACGTGATCGGAAGGTACAGAGATTTCCCGCGTACCCCTTGTCCCCCACAGCCATAGCCTCCCCTACCATCAGCATCCCCGACCAGAGGGTACATTTGTTACAGTTGATGAACCTACATTAACATGTCATTATCACCCAAAATCCATCATTTTCATTAGGATTCACTCTTGTATATTCTATGGCTTTTGACAAAAGTGTACTGATGTGTATCCACCAATCTAGTATCACCCAGAGTAGTTACACTGTCCTAAAAACCCTCTGGCTCCACCTATTCTCCCCCCACCCCCGACCCTGTAATCAATTTTTAAACTGATTTCAAGTCTATTCCATAGAAAGTTGTCCCTGTGATGTGCAGCCCGGTCCTTGAGCCCTAGGCGCATGGGGGAAGGATGCTTTATTCACAGTCAGTACCTGGAAGGCTGGGAAATGTGTCCTAGTGTTGTGGAAAGGATTGTGGAAGGACGCCGAGGGCAAAGCAGGAGACATCATGAGCTGGAGTGAGAAAGACAAGAACAAGGTCAGTTCCAAGACAGGTGTGCACACAGGAGTGAGCAGACCCCTCTGACTGAAGCAGGCTGTTTAGTGGGTTTCTCCTTTGTGTGGTGTTTGCAGGCACTCGGTGTTCGTAGTGTGGTCACTCATCTGAACCAGTCCTCTGGTGTAGGCATCATCGTCCCTGTTATACGGGTGAAACTGAAGCTCAGACACATGCGCTTGTCCCGAGGTCAGAGCTAGTGAAGGAGGGACTCGACTCTCTTTGCCTTTTCCTGATTCTGCCTTTTTAGCTCTCCTCTTCTAGTCACCTCCATACCCTGTGCAATTTTCTCCATTGGTCATCCAGCAGCCACCCTGCACAAATAAAATAACCAGGATGCTTAGATGATAGAAAAATTCATAGATACATCAGCCCATTCCTTGTCCTGGCAAACAGAGCGTATTTCAATATTTGGGAATCTAATGGGACTCCACTGTTGTTTTGTACACACATTGTCATTTGATGCCTGAAGATGTAAATACAGAAAATGGAAGTGATTGCGTTAAATTTGTGTTCAGCTCAGCATACTCCCAAATGTTGCTTTAAGGAAAACACCTTATCAAGTCTGTGTTTCCTTAATATTAAGAGATGGGAAGAGAGTTTGGTTAGTCAGGTTCTAGCCAATAATGAAAGATATTGCTATAGAATAAAGTAATGCTTTCCAATTTTGAATAGTATATGGACTCCTAATGGAAAAAATTAGCTTGGACTCCTGAGAATGTCCATAGTCACAAGTTGACAAAGTGACTTAAAGCCTCAATGGCAATTCATAATAATAGCTTTTCTTAATTTGCAATCACAAGATGGCAGATTATCTACAGCCCTGCATACAGTGTTACTTTCCAATAGGTACGACGATGAGATGTAGAAATTTATAGGACACAGAATTATCACGGCGATACCAAACAGCACCTCTCTGGGCTCTCATAGATGTGGGGTAACAGCTAACATCCTTTGAGCATTTACTGTGTACAATGCTCTGTGCCAAATGCTTTGCATGTAATTGTTCTAAGACCCAATAATATAGGCACTATTATCCCTGCTTAACAGATGAAGAAACTGAGGTTCAGAGTGGCTAAATGACTAGCAACATCGTGTTGCAGGTAATGGTGGAACTGTTTATTCGTCCCCAAGCTGGTGTGACTCTGGAGCCTACACTGGTAAACATTACCCTGCACTATAATAGAAAGGATTGAGAGGCTGGCCCAGTGGTGCAGTGGTTAAGTTCGCATGCTTTGCTTTGGCAACCTGGGGTTCGCGGGTTCAGGTCTGGCGTGGACCTACGCACCTCTCATCAAGCCATGGTAAGGCGGAGTCCCACATATGAAATAGAGGAAGATTGCCACAGATGTTAGTTCAGCAACAATCTTCCTCAAGCAAAAAGAGGAAGATTGGCAACAGATGTTAGCTCAGGGCCAATCTTCCTCACAAAAAAAAAGAGAAAAAAGAGGGGATTGAGCAATTGGCTTCTAGTCACCCCAGGTCCTGCGAGGTGGATGACTCCCCTGGAGCCCTAGAAGGGGTCCCTTTTAACCCTAGGACTGGAGCAGTCAGTACTGTAGTTGCAGATTGTGCATTTACACTTTTGCCCGGCTGGTGAACTATGGTGAGGGCAGTTCCTGAAGCTGGTCTTTATCCTCATTCTTTGAAGAGACGTGGACTGAGAGATTTGTGGATGAAGAGAATGGAAAGCTGTCAATTAAAGAAACTTCTACACCCTCCCTGGCTTCCTGAACTTCTTAGGGTATATAATTGGCACTTGGCTTAGCTGAGTATTTATCAGCTTTTTTGCTTAGCTCTGAGACGGTGGCGTCCCTGGTGGCTTCTGCTCTGCACTCCATGACATCTGCTACCATCTGTGGTGGCTACCTCTGCAATTTCTCTCCTTGCTAAGCCAGCCAGAATTTCTCCCCTGCCGGGTCTTTAACTTGACTGAAGCAGCTAACAGGAATGAGTGTCAGCCGTGTTAACAGCTGTTTTCTTGGTGGTTACTCTGCTCTGGCTCAGGCACTGGGAATTGGATTTTTTTCCTTTGTCTTTTCTGCTTAGAAATAAGCTACTGAGTAGTAGAAAGAAAGCAGAGTCATGCCTTGGTCTGTACTAACGGTAAAGGGACTCCATTTGCCAAAGAAACTTTCAGAAGCCTGGATTCTTCTCTGAGTCTTGGACTGTCCACACCACAAGCAGTGATGCTGATGGAGCCTTCCACTGGGTGCTTCCACCAGAAGTGGTTTGAACTGCTGTTCACTCGTCATCCTTCCCGTGGCTTGAATCCCAGGCCCTCTACCTGCAGGGAACTGTAGACAGACCCACCGACAGGACATAGACACCCCTACACAGTGGCTCAAGCTGGCAGGGAGACAGTCACAGGCCCGAATTCACCGAGAGCTGGTCTTCCCTAGACCCCACGGTCAGCAGTGTAGCAAGATGACTTCCTGCTACGCATAGGGCTTCCCCGCGTCAAGGAGAAACAGTCACCTAAGAGTCGATGAGAACCATGTATGGAGTTGGGATGGAGGAGGCCCATTCAGTCACTCACAAGTATTTTTCCTCAAAGGAAAAGCCGGAAGGACACAAGGAGGCTGAAGGCTGGTGGCTGGCTGTCTTGGCAGAGCTGGAGTGTGGGCAGGAGCCTGTGGTTGGTCCTCTTGGAGGCAGGGATCCTGGCTGGCCAGCTGCGGTGCGTCCTCCGGTATCCAGTTCGCAGAGCTGGTTCACACTCTCCCTGAGAGCTCTCCACTCTGCTCGGGCTCCCAGCCGGGCTGAGGGATATCAGCCTGTCCTCCCGGGGCAGGACTGAGCTATCCAGCCAGTCAGGGCGTTTCAGCTCCTTGGCAGCTATTTATATTTGAATGTAATCAATGCCTTTACTTGTTCTTGCGAGGTATGTTCTTGACAGAGTTGGGTCAGCATGAATGAGTGTCACAGGAGTGGTCACCTTTATTGCTAATAAAGTAGCATCCGAACTGTTGCATCCCACGTGGGAGGTCCAGCTTGAAACCATGGAGGCCTCCACCTACCCGCAGTCTGATTAACCTGCGGAACGTGTCTAACCTCTCAGAGTCTCCCTTTCCTAAGGTTAAATGCCCAGGGTTGTGAGGTTTAGACAAAGTTCTTGGAACAGGGATTTCAGTTGTTCAGTGTGTTTATTGAGCAGCTACTGTGTGGCAGGCACTGCTCTAGGCACACGGACGCAGAATAATTTTCCTGTCCTCACGGGGGTTACAGTCTGGTGGGAGGAGACGGATGATAAGCAAAAACATAATATAATACTCAGCAGTGGTAAGGGCCATGCTCTAAGCACTTCACCTAAAATTAAACCTAACCTCGATATTCTCAGAAAATGAACTTCCTGAGTGTTTTTTCCCAGCTCCGTTTCACAGAGGGCCAAGTGGAAATATTTCTAGGGCAGAGACATGCAGCACACGGCAGGGGCACTAGGATGATGTGGGGTGGTTCTGTTTGCAAAGGGAGTGAATGCTCCTGGGATTCCTGCTCCTTTCGGCTTGAAATGAATAACATGCAAATGAGCACCTGGGTCTGAGTCAGCAGTGAGTAACACCTCTTGCGGGATGCTGAGCCCTGAGCACACAACACGGCCTCCCCTGCTGGCACCTCCGCATCCCTGAGGAGCTTCTCACAGGTGGCCTCTGTGCCCTGACCCCTAGCCCTCGCCCATGCCACCCTGCCCAGTCACAACCCCGGGTCAGGCCAGCTGTTCACTGCACCTGCGCCCAGGCCCATGGGCCCAGCTTGATGAAACAGCGTTACTGGAAGCCTGGGGCGTCCTCACCACCTGGGGCCTTGGTGTGTCTTCCTACAGCAAGGGACAAGGAAAAGGCTCCCCTCTCCTGGAGCTCCCTTCCCCAGTGGCTCTCGCCACAAGGAGGACAGGGACCCCTACTCATCAGGCTTGAACTCTCTCAACGGCCCCCTCCCACATGCTTCTCCATCCCCCCATCCAAGATGGACCCTCCCACCTGTGCTCGCCTTCTCCCCACCCCACATCTTGAGAGCTTGCTCCTCTGTCCTCAAGCCCTGTGCCTTCAATGTCTGTTTTTCCATGAATTCACTTCAACTTGCACAACTGTCCACACTGCAGCTGTTCTAAACCCACTTTTTTGGATCCTGCCTTTCCTCCACTCAGTATTCCTTCTCTTCCCCTTCACCACCACATTTCTTAAAGGAATAGTCTCCACTCCCCTCTCCCAGGACTTCTTCATCCACTAAAAACTGATGTCAGCCACTAAAACTCACCTAAAACTTCTCTCAGTGGGGTTACCAATGAGCCGTTTGCATCTAGGGTGCACACTTTGCAGCCTGTATGTTTCCGTAATTGAAGCATTTTGCTTCCATTGAGTGTTTCC